AGCATATATAGCCGGTATAATGTGTTGCTCCTTATCAGTATTAGAATTCTGGCAAACGATGCCTAATAATTCCGAGTCAATTTACCTGTAAAGCATCGTGTTGAGGTGAAGAGGACAGAACCGTGGAAAGAAGCTCAATGCTGTTTCTTGCTATATCGAAAGCTTCCTTTGTCTGCTCAGCAGTAAAGCTTCGTACAGGAGCATCATACTGAACATGTGCAGGCTCATGTGCATACTGAACATGTGCAGGCTCATGTGCATACTGAGGAAGATCAGCATTCACTTCTGGTGCTGGAGCTGACCGAGCAGGAGTGAAAATAGGTGCCAAGCTCTCATTGTCTCGTTCAGGGAATCGAATACCTCTTGCTTTTAAGCTCTATGGTATAGGAGCAACAATATAAGACAAAAACATTAAGACCTGATCATAATGAATTCTGACATCAGATCTCACAGCTTTTTGTTTTTCAATCAATTCCTGCAACAAGCTAGTCGATTGAACCAATTCATCAAAACAATAATCATTTATCTGTTTTATTCAAAACCCATACGATTGACCTTGAATTTCCGAGGGCAAGAAAGCAAGGCCAAAACACATCAACTCAGCGCAACAGATAGATATAAGTTAAGAGTGACATCTTCAATAAAGTAGTGTAAATGGACCATGTATGGTAGAACTCAGTCGCATAGCATTAATAGGTACCAGGTCATAGTTACCTTATAAGTTTCTTCAAAAACTGGTAGGTAGTGGAGTTCACTGGTCGATTCTCCCCAAGCTTCAATCAGAATCAAAGCTTTGTTTCGATTATTCACAACAGTTTGTGGATCATCAATCAGCTTAACCATTTCATCAAGGACTCTCTCTGCTGCCACCTCTGAGAATGCCTTCTCACAGTTCTTAACACATGTCTCAAGCAAAACCAAGGCAAGGTACTGAATTCTCGGCTGCTTCATCATTATCCTTTTCTTTATTCCACGGATCAAATCAACGCTATTAATTGTCTCTTGATTTATCATGTCACATATTTCCAAATTCATATCCCAGTCAGGTTCCTCTAGATTCTCCGTAGTAGCATCTTCAACTATTTTATCAGTTGGGTTTGGACCTTGAAAAAGTTCCTTCACTTTGAAGCTCATTGAGCTCACACCAGCTGTGATTTTGTTGCTCACTTCTGAACCTCCAATCTTCAAGCGCTCGCCAAATGCGGTAACCTTGTCCATAAGATTGTCACTCATCTTTCCTGATACTCAAACCTGTAAATGAAACACATCAGCCTACTCATGCACAAGACAGCAAGAAGCTGGAACATCTACTTATTCATGTCTTACAATGCTTCAATAATACTCAATAGTAAGAAAGCATCTGTTTATTTTGTAATACAAATGGTCCTCAGAGTCCATATATAAAATCTGCACAGCTCGCTCCGACATTCATTTGTAAGGAATCACAACTAACAGCCAGAAAACAACTAAGAATTCTGGTGAGATTCACCCCAAAACCAAATACACAAAAAGGTTCAAATCTGAGATTCATGGTACTACCATTAGAAAGTTTAAGACACGCAGGTGTCTGGACAAACAATGTGNATCTCAAGAAAGACGAATCGTGAACCTAAGGTAAACATCTATCCTCATCATAACCTTTTGTCAACCCAGCTATCCAAGATTCCAAGTTAGTTGAAGGGACTATAAGCTATATACATTTTTCAGAAATGAATATCTGCAACCATGTTATAAACTATCAGATCAGTGACGAAGCTTTTAGCAACTGAAGTAATTAAGCATGTATATTTGGCATTTTCCAGAGAAGAATCATGTCTATGCATGTGTATAACAGAGACTGTTCTCCGATCTTCACAAATTTGATAAGACATTGCTTCCTTCAAAACAACTCTTAACACCGATGAACATTCCGATTCCGAGAAAACGTATCAAAAGAAAGCTTAACTAAGACACCATGGAACAAGAAACTATATGGCTTGACCTGAAAATTTTCATCAAGCTACAAATACAATAGTAGTTGATCTATCAGGTACTTCACAAACATGAGATCTCCACGATCCATCAAACAATTCAAGAAAAAATCACCAAGGTACCGACTTCAATATCTACGAAACAGATTTCCACCAACCAATCTAATTAGGGTTTGCTAATTTGCTGAAGAAAACCCAAATTCGATACATATCTTCCAAAATCGATATTCGAAAAAAGAGCAGAACATTAAGTCCATCACTGGTCAAGGAAAACCCGTAAAGTAAACACAGTTCATGTCATCAAAAAGCCCAGAACTAGAGCGATCAACATGAAACAGTAAGAAAAACAAAAAAAACAGAAAAATCGCAAGTAGATTCAGGCTCTACCTTTGCTACGTCACAAAAAGATTGCCAAGCTCGAAGAAAAACAATGGAGAATAGGGTCGATCTGGCGAAAAGAAGGCGACTAGAGAAGAAAACCTGCGACAAGGTCAATGCCGTTGACGCAGGACAAATTCTGAAGAAGAAGAAAAATGCGTTTCTCAATAAAGTGTTTGGTCAATCGAATAACTTTATCCTGCAATGCCTCTCCTTTACGCTAACTCTCTTTTACGCTAACACGGTTCGAACCGTGGACGATTTTTGTTTTACAATTTTATTAATTTTTTTTTAATAAAAAAATTCGATTTAGTTATTTTTTTTTTAAAGGTTCTTAAACTTTATGTATACTATTTTTTTATCAATATTTTTTTTCTAATCGACACCATTAGTAATTTTCATACTAACATATATCGGGTATAGTATTAAAAGAAAACTTAATAAAATAATAGGTGTAAGCGAAGGTAGTATTAAATTGGTACTAAAACTAAAATTTGGTTTGATGGTATATTAGAGAAATTTTCATATATTATAAAAGACAACTAATATAGTTTTAGTTAAAAACAATTAGTCTAGTATCTTTTTTTCTCAACGCTAGCCGAAATTATTATGATAAATTCGAGATTTGTTTGTGTATATCCGAATTTGCGATCATTTTTGTATAAGAATTTGTTTGACCAATTGATTGATAAAATGGATAAATCAACCTAAATCAAAATTGAACAATCCGAACTGAACTAAACTATATAATAGTTTGAATAGATACATAATTCCTATTATAATAAATCATAAGTCACTTTCAAAAAAATTGCAACTCTCTCTATTTGTCATGTATCACAAGTTTCAAATTCCACTTTTTCACTTCCTCTCTCTTCCGAAAATTATTT